TTGTGATAAAACAACGGTACCTAGAGCCATCCAAATCTGAATAACGTGTCATCTTCCATAGAATATGGGCATGTGGAAGCCCTAATTTGAATTTGAAATTTGTTTTATTATCTATTTCAGATTTTGTAAAGCATTTATGAGTTTTTGATTAAGAAACTCAATGATTTGAAAGCTGCCAGTGGCAACACTGTAGGGAAAAAAAAAGGCATTTTTATCTCCAGCGCGCGAGACTGTGTATCGGAAATTCTAAAGATAAGCTCATTTTAAAATTATTTTGCGATATTGCTGTTGAACTGAATTTTATGGTTTGAGTGCTTAGAACATAATATTTAAAAAATAAAGGTAACACACAAAACTTAAGGGGGAAGAAAAAAAAAAAATCTGAAATGTTTCAGATTTTAAATTACGTCCAAAGGGGCGTTTTTTAACATTTTGTGTGTTACCTTTCTTTATTAAATATCATGTTCCTCGCACTTAAACCATAAGATCCAGTTGCAACAGCAATATCGCAAAATAGTTTTTAAAACGAGCATATCTTTAGAATTTCCGATACAGAGACTCACGCGCTGGAGATAAAAATGTTTTTTTCTGCACAACGTTGCCATTGCTCGCTTTGAAATCCTTGAAGTTTGTTAATCAAAAATTCGTCAAAGTTTTAAAAAATAGGAAATCGATCATAAAACAAATTTCAAATTTGGTCTTCCACATGCTCATATTCGTTGGAGGATTACGTTATTCAAAATTCGATGACTCTATGTACCGTTATTTTATGACAATGTGAGAAATATACATACATTTACGCAGATTTTCATTATTTAATTTCTTCAAATATAATGCAGGACTCTAACATTTTATGGCAACAGTTTGAAAAGTGAACCGACATTTATCCGTCCGACGCAAAATGCCAAAACGAAACTAATAGTCCTTCGGGATTCAAATCCCTCAAAAAAAAAAAAAAAAAAAAAAAAAAAAAAAAAAAAAAAAAACCAATTTGGACGTAGTTTAAAATCTGAAAACTTTCAGTTTTTTTTTTTTTTTTTTTTTTTTTTTTTTTTTTTTTTAAGATTTATTGTTTGTTTAGCAATTAGAACTAAGCACAGGTGAAATATTATGAAAATATTATGAAACTTAACATCAGCAGGAATTTGCATTTCCCCCAACCCCAGTACTGAACTATTTTGAAAAAGGGGAAAATTATAAGAAGAAATAATGTAATTTTTAAAGCTCGATTGAATGTTTCTGCAGTTTTGTTTTAGATGTGAAGATATGAATGTGAAAGTGTCAAATTATTTTCCAACGTGAAATCTATTTTTAAATAATCTAAAAAACTATGCAGTATTACAGTTTGGATAATGCAATGAGAAGTCGGCTATATGTGTAGTAGCTTCGTTGAAGTAACATTTATGATTTCATTGAAATAATGTAATTCTTCCAGGTAATTGAAAATGCTTTCTTTTGCTTAATGCACCTCTTAACTTTTCTTTAAAGATAAGCTTAGCTTAACTGTTTATTGTGACCTTACGTGTGTATTGAATAATCAGAAATGATTACTTTTAAACCAAGGCAGGCTTGGTTCAACGAACTTTTATAGTAAAAAGAAAAGAAATTCCTCGCTTGTATTTTAAAATTTCGAATTTTTCATATTATAAAAGTGTTAATCCAAGATTCTAGTTTAGAAGAGACCAATTAAGAAGTTTCATCGTGCGTCTCCAGGAAAATCGAAGAAAATACTTGATATTGTTTACATTTCATTTACGCCAGATGTGTACTATCGGACGACTTTTGCTCAGAATTTACTTCGTATCAGAATTTCATGCTTAAACGTAGGCATTTCAGCCTATCTTACAAATTTCATCATATGCTTTCCGATCTGTTTCCTGTAATTCATTGCACTGGTTTATGTTGTTTTGTTTGAGAATAACATCAAAGAATGCTCAGATAATAAATCGCAAGTGTTAAAGGTATTGTTTCATATAAGCGAAATGTTTTTTCCTTTTTGGTATGTTTGTTAAAGTTCTTATATAAAACAAAAATTGCGAATAATGGATTAGCAATTTTTCTGTAAAGGGGCAAGCTTCTACTTATATAGTGAGAGAGACATAGTGAGCGAAATTATTAGCCAAAGGGCGTTAGCCCAGAAGGGCTATTAATTTCGTTTTGCCATTTTGCGTTGGTTCACTATAAATATCGGTTCATTTTTCAAATTTGTGCCACCAAATATTAGAGTCCTGTGCTGTATTTAAAAAAATTAAATAATGAAGAATCTCTGTAAATGTATATATGTTTCTCGCATTGGGAACGGTACCTACAGCCATCCAATTTTGAATAATGTAATCTTCCATGAATATGGGAAGCCGGAATTCAGAATATGAGATTTGTTTTATTATCGATTTCATGTTTTGCAACACTTTAACGAATTAACAACGATTTCAAAGCGAGCAATGGCAATCCTGTACAGCAGAGTTTCTTGAACAGGGGGTCGCGAGACTTGCAGCAGGGGTCGCCAAAAATTTGCAGTTTGGTATTTCTTTAACTTATTATAATAATTTTACAATTACCAAATATTTTTACATAGTGTATCCGAAAATAGATAAATACAGACAAAGAAAAAACGAAAACTTTCGACGCATTCTTTTTATAATATAAACGTTAATTTTGCTTGCTTTGCACGTGATGCTGTCATTTCGTCTGTTACTTATTTAAACTTTTCACATTGTTCTATGTCTTAAAATTAGAAAAGTTAACGACCTAAAACTGCAATAGTATATTACAGTACAAGTGAAAAAATTGAAAGTTTCACTCACGTGTGTGTTTGATTTGCGCAATGCTTATGGGGTCCCACAAAATTTTCGTAAATATTAGGTCGCGAAAAAATCTCAGTGGTAAAAAAGGGTCGCGACTGAAAAAAGTTTAAGAATTCCTACTGTACCCGGGGGGGGGGGGGAAGAAAAAACAGAACTTATAAATATTGTTTTGCCCGTTGTCCGGTAGTTATTATTAAAACAGTAATTTTTCCGTGTGCATTTCTATTCAGTAAATAGCGAAGTGGTAAACCAGTAACTAGTAGTAAAAAAAAGAACCATCTGCATAATTATCTTAATTAGCGAAGCGCAAAAGAAATCAAGACCCCATTACAATGATACATTTTACTGTTGCTATCAGAGTTCGAGGCTGCTTTTCAGCATGGACTGACAGGTTATTTGGTATTCCTAATTGCAGCGAAACAAAATTAATTTTAAGTGCTCAAATATGGCAAGTCCAAATCAGTGCAAATAATTGCTTGCATTTCGACACGTTGAAAAAACATAATTCTAAAAATGCAGCAGACTTACTGTTCGATTTGAGACGAGAATTTGAAAATAGATTTCAAGGTTTCTGTTTCCGCGACTCCATTTGCAAACAATATGGATATCCTGCCAACAAATTTTCAAATAGAACGAACAGAGTTGCAGTCTGTCATTCAGCTGAAAATTTGATCACGTCTGTTTGTTTGACATGTTAAATCATGCATATCCTCAGCAAATATGCATCGCTACAGTCGTGCACTATTCTTGTGATCATTGTTTTTGACTGCGTACATTTGTGAACAGTTATTCCCAAGAACGAAGCGGAGTAAAAATATTGGAATGAACTGTTACCACTTCAATCGAGCCTGACATTAATGCATTCCTTTCTCAAATTCCAGCCCAGCAGCGGCCGAGCGGTAAAGTCGATGAACACTGGTAGTTTGGTCCGAGGTTCGAATCCCGCAGACGGGATGGCTGCATGGACGTTTTCATGGTTTTTCCCATTCGTAACATATATACGAGCCATGTTTCCTTTAGAAAGCCTCCACGAAGGCATGCTTCCCCTTTCGCGCATAGCGCTCGAGGCTTTGCCATTATCACATAAACTTAACCAAACCAAACCTTTCTCAAATTCCGGGCCTAATATCACATTAATTTTATGATTTTTTGTTTTCTTTGTAATTACAAGTAAAATTTATAATGAAATTTTATGTATAGAATGTCAAATGCAACGTCCGACTCATTATATGTTGCTGTTATTATGTTAAAAAAATAATAAGTTAACAAATTCTAAATTAACTAAACATTTTTTCTGTTCTTTTTTCGGACTCATCAGACATCTTTAATATTAGGCAGTACGGCGGCTATTTAAATTTTTAAAATCTTTATTTTGTTCACGCAGATTTTCCTCCTAGAGGTGAAATATAAAAATTTTTTCAGCGGTGAAACGTGAGCAGACCCGAAAAGTTTCAATGAAACCTACATTATTTTGTGATTTTCTTATTTTGGAGGTCACGAGTGGTACCACCGCTGTTTGAAATACGTTATATGCCACAAAATATCTCGTTTTCTTCCATTGTAACCCAGGGAAGCTAAGGAAAAAGTTGGACACCTTTGCTTTGAAGTTTTGTAAATGACAATTTTCATTTATTATACTTTCTAGATATAATTTTGCATTTTGCGTTGAAAACTATAAACGGCGAATCACTTTTCAAATTGTTGCCACCGAATATTATCGCCCTGTATTATATGTAAAGAAATTAAATAATGAAAAATCTACGTGAATGCATGTATGTTTCTCGCATTGTGATTAAACAACGGTACCTAGAGCCATCGAAATTTGAATGACGTAATCTTGCATAGAATATAGGCATGTGGAAGAATTCTAATTTGAATTAGCAAACTGAGCGATTTCAAAGCGAGCAGTGGCAACACTGTACGGGAGGGGGGAAGAAAAAAATATATCTCCAGTGCGCGAGACTGTGTATTGGAAATTCTAAAGATATACTCATTTTAAAATTATTTTGTGATATTGCTGTTGAACTGAATTTTATAGTTTGAGTACGTAGAACATGATATTTAATAAATAAATGTAACGCACAGAACATTAAAAAACGCCCCTTTGTGCATAATATAAAATATAAAATCTTTCAGATTTTTTAAAATTATTATTATTTTATTTTAATGTGTGTTTTTTTTCTTTTTTCGTTTCAGAAAATCTCGGACATCACAACACAATGGAGATTAACAACCACTTCAATCATCTGCAGAGGAAAGGTATGATTTTTTTTTTTTTTTTTTTTTTTTTTTTTTTTTTTGGCTGTTGTTTGCTTCCTTACTTTTCTTTGCATAATGTTTCAGTTTTGTTCGTTCGTTTATTTATTTTTAATCTGCTGTTTAAGCCGATTCCTTAGATTAGTGGTCGGCAAACCTTGACTCGTGAGCCAAATGCTGCATGGGCGTTTTCGTGATTTTCCCCATGTGTAACGTGTGTACGAGCCGGTTTCCCTTAGAAAGTCCTCCATGAAGGCATGCTTCCCCTTAGGCAGATAGCCCTAGTGCCATAATCTCAATAAACCAAACATAACAAAGTACGTTGGTTATTAAGAGGAAACGTTTTGAAAGTTTGTCGTCCTTATTAATAGAAATTAAAGCATTTCTCCTCGAAAAGGGAGTTACCCTACACGTAATCGATTGAAATAAGTGATTTTGAATGAATACATATTAAAGTAACTGCAGTAAAATAGTAGGACTCACTTTTTAAAAAATATTTATTCATGAGAATAGTACAAACGATTAGAATTTTTCAAAGTAGCACTCTTCCGCATCTACACTTTGCTGTCAACGAGTTTTCTTCCAGTTTTCGCAAACCTTCAGCAACGCCTGGATCGGAAAGCTGTTTAGCTCCCTCGCGACGGCCTGTTGAACCGCCTCTACCCAGCCATGATGCTTCCCCTTGAGCGTCGATTTTATTCTCGGGAATAGAAAAAGTTTGGAGGGGGCAAGTCGGGGCTGTAGGGAGATTAGGCAGCGTTGCCACATTGTGCTGGGCAAGATAATCCACTACGAGGAACGTTGCGTGGCTCGGTGTGTTGTCATGGTGCAGCCGCCAATTGTTATGGCGATGGCTGGGCGGACGCGAACAATGCGTTTTCGCAGTCTTGTGTAAGGACTTCCACTTAAAAGAACTGAATTAACTGTGTGTCCGGCTGGTACGAACTATTTGTGGAATGACTCTATGTCGGATCAAAAAAGTAAAGGAGCATGGATCTTTTCCTTCGATTTTGCTCATTCGTGCTTCCTTAGGGCGTGTGGAAGAAGGGGTGTGTCCATTCTGAATTCTGCCGCTTGACTCTCCAGGTCGTATTCAAACACGCACGTCTCGTTACCGGGTCACTACATTGTCCAAAAAGTTGTGGTCTTCATTCACATGATGAGAAATATCCTGGCAGATCGCTTTCAGGTTGGCCTTTTGCTCCTGGCAACACTCGCGGCACACAACTTCGCGCACACTTTCTTCATGGTTAAGTTTTCTCTTCACGGATCTCAAAAACTTGGATGTGAGGAATGCTCAATTCATCAGCAATTATTCTGGTACTCATCCTAGGATAAATGTTCAGTAAATGTTTCACTTGCGGCACATTTTGGTTGGTATTGCTGGTCGAAGGGCGTCCGGAGCGGTCGTCGTCTTCCACTCTTTCCCTACTTTCTCGGAACAGCTTGTGCCGCTCAGAAAACACCCAAGCTACCCATGGTAGCGTCACTGTAGGCATCCTTAATCATGTTTTGAGTCTCTTTGTTCGTTTTACCAAGCTTTACACAAAGCTTTATTGCGTATCGCTGCTCCAGAAAACGCTCCATGATTCTCCGTGACGGGTAGGGTCTACTGCGAATGCTCCCGAAAAGAACACTTAAGACTCCACAGCATCACCATCGTCCTAAAAAAAACTAGTTAAATAATAATGTCTTATTCCTAATTAGCAACTTCATAATACTAAACTAGTGTACTCCTAATTCTAATCTAAAAGGGCAATACCTTTAAAAAGTCTCGCTAATAGCAGTAATAATATATTAGTACTTCTCATGTGGTTTTTCGTTGTCTTTGTAAGGATTTTGAATTTTTTGAGTTGATTGGACGTGTATTAGAAATGAGAGACTCAGTAGATTTATCAGGGCCTGATACCCGCCTCCAAAAAATTGCTTTATTTCCTCATAATACTTGTTTCTTTTTTCTCGAAAAAAGTAAAATGAGCTTTTCGAACGCCTGAAAAAGGCTTTGTATAGGGTCCAAAACTAGCTTAATCGAATCCTGAGTGTAACCGAACTGGAATTTCAGTTGTAAACTCAGAATTCAGTCTATGGTAAATAGAAGGAAGGAACTTTTTGGTGACTTCAGCATTACAAGATGAAATGTATTCTTCATTCCACATAGCTAAAAGCTTTTTATAATGAAAGGACTTCCAATAACTCTTTGGAATGCTAATGTTGATATCAATGGGTAAATTTAAGGCATCTTTAGCTAAGAAATCAGCTCTTTCATTCCCGTAGAAACCATGATGAGCACGCACATAAGCAAAGCAGATATCAATACCTCTAATTCTAAGTGAACTAACAGTTACTAGGGTTTCGATAACTAATTTATCGCAGCTGGTAATAAATACTGTTCAAAAGTTGAAGAGAAGAAAGAGAATCAGAACAAATAAGGTACTTTGAGGATGTTGTCCCATGATCCTGGATCCATTTGACGGCAAGATAAATGCACAGAAGTTCTGCTTGAAAAACTGTACATTCATTCCGATACGGTGTGTCTAAGAAAACAAATCTCGGAATGGCCTTCAAAAAGAACAAATGCAAGGCCAACCTTGTTGTTCATCTTGCTGCCATCTGTAAAGAAAACCATATGAAAACTTATTTCAGCAGTCTCTTTATAATCGCAGAATTTATGGGTTCTAAAGAAGCGGGATGTGAGGAAGATCAGTGAAGGGGACAATTCCATTAATACAGTCTTCCGAAGCATGAGTTGCCAATGACTCAAAAATATTATTCTTATATGCAATTTCAAAATCAATAGGCGGAACTCCTGCAAGAACAAAAGTAGCCTCATAGCTTAAGGTTCTATAACCACTAATAATACGAAGAAGAATTCTCCGTTGAATCTTTCTTAAATTTCTTTTGTTAACCTTCTTGGCAAGAACATGTCCCCAAGCACGACAGCCGTATGAAATGAAAGGTACAATACACTGTTTATACATGAGTTTCTTAACATCGTAGCTTACTCCAAAAGTATTTTTGGCAATTCGGTGAAAGCCATTAATAATTTTTTCACATTTAGCAGAAAGGATTTCAATGTTCTTTTTCCATTTTAATTTTAATGTTAATTTTAATTTTTTAAGACATTTGGGAAACCATTGCAAGACCTTTTAAGGACACGCTTTCTAAACGTCGTGCTTTATTTTCATCAGTGTGCAAATTAAGTGCCCACTCACTTGCCGAACTTCCTAAATTTTTCCTATTATTGCAAGTGCTGTGAAACGGTTGGGAAATGTACACTGCGCCCAAAAAAAGGGGGGCAGTTTTATATCTCTCGTTCTACTGGGCCAATTCACGAAATTCAACTTGCGTTTCTCATGTCTCGAAAGCGCGATATAGGATATGTATTACATTTATGTATAGCATTTTTCTAATATAGGTATTTTGACACGAAATCGGACTTTTTCTGAAATAAGGTGGCATTTGTTTTTCCATATTTCCATTCTAAGATTCAAATTATGCCAAACTGCCAAGTTTTGTAAAAAACCTCACGAGTACTTTTTAAATAATTAGCTCACAAAAATTTAGCTCCGTAATGTTAATTGAATTTGATATATATTTATTAATATCTCTTTTTTTTATTAAATTTACTTGATTCTTTCTTCCAGATTCTAAATTTAGGCTTAATCCGAATATATTTCGCATATTATTATTATGTAGTTTAAAAATTTGTATTTTAAAATATTTTTTATAAATTTATCGAAAACATTTTTGTATGGTAACTTCTAAAATTTTTAACATCATGTTCAAGTAGATGTATTTCTAAGCATATCTGCAAAAAATTAAGAGTTTTTTTTATTCAAAATTTCTTAAGATATACGTGAATTTACATTATGGCGCGTTTAGAAATTTGGGGTATTTAATATAAGCGATAATAACGAAAATGTGGTTTATGCACTTTGTTAAAATAATTTGAAACAATGAAAGATGGATTTTTTTTCCTCTCGTTCACCAATGAAAAAAAGGAAAGTTAGCAGGTTGAGAAAAAGTTAAGAATTCCGGCAAGTGAATTATAACTGAAAAAAACTGAAAGAAGTATGCCAAGATAAATGTTTAAATTTCTCATCAAAAATTACAAAATTTAATATCTGGGCATAATTGGAGACGTAGAATCGAAATATGGAAAGAAATTGTAATGTAATTTCAGAGAAAGTCCGATTTTATGTCAAGATACCTGTATTAGAACAACGCTATATATATGTATATATATGTTACGGTGAAACACCGAAATCTGGAGAATGTCGACTTTCACCAGTGAATGTCAACATTCACATAGTCGCTTGGCGTATGTTCGAAATATTTTCCAAATACTCTTATTTCTGACTTACACCGGTAAATGTCGACATTCACCATGTACTAATGGTGATTCTTGAATATATAAAAATATTATATTTTCTTCTCCGTCATTCAGTCGCGAAAAAACGCACTTGAGACTTAAAATAAGAACTTAAGAACTTAAAGCACACAGTACATTCAAACTAACAGAAGTTAAAAACTTACTAAATTATGTGATTCAAATCTTATTTATTGCAACAACTTAAACTGTTATGACACTTTGAATTGCACAAGAGGACCTTGCTTTTACAACTGCATTTATTTGTGGAACACTTCCTTTTGTAATGACAAAGCGTGTACATATATTCCTCTCTTTTTTGACCTACATCAGAGCATATCTGTGATTGTCCACATACACTGGTGAGGGTCCGAATGTACAAGAATGTAATGCAATATTCGATCTTTTACCGACGTATTTGGTGAATGTTAACATTGCCCGGTGAAAGTCGACAATCTCCAATTTCGGTCTTTCACGGTAACATATATATAACATATATCTTATGTCGCGCTTTCGAGACATGAAAAACTCAAGTTGAATTTCGTCAATCGCAGCAGTAGAACTAGAGGATATAGAACTGTCTCCACCCCCTTTTTTTTTTTCCTTTTTTCTTTGCAGTGTACATACGGTGTGTGGGCGATTTCTTATACAATTTGTCGTTTATCTGTTTGAATTAAATTCTTTAATTCATTCAAATTAATGGAGGGAGGGCACTGGCCGCGAGGCTCGTTCGTTTTGTAACCTCAGTTCTCTTGAGAGAAATTTGCAGACTTCCGCAAAATTTTCGATTCTGTCATTAGTTGTTGTTGCACTAAATACTGTATTGATATTTTTGCTCCAGAGTCTGCAAAATGTCCCAATCGGAACTCTTAACAACTATGGGGTGGCATGGGTTCTGTGATTGACTTAAGGTCTGCAGTACTCCGCGTGTAATGCTTGTTTAGTGAAATATAGAGTTTACATCTACATCACATACGTGTATCGCCGTGACATGAGATAAAACATTCGCATAAACTTTAACGCCATATTTTGTTCTACATTATGTAGAAATCTCATGTTGTTGAACGGTCATTTGCAGCAATTCTATATAATTTTGGATCAGAGTTTTTTTTATGTCTGACCATCAAGAATGACAAATAAAGGATGAAGAAAGAAAGTACAAAAGTAGTAGTCGAACTTGTAAAGAGTTTAAAATCGAAACGGTAATTTTTTTTTCAAAAATCTAGTCAGTTAATATTTTGCATATGATTTGATTCATTGAAATTTCTGTTATACTCGCTCGCCTGTAGAGCTCTTTCTATATGCTTTCTGAAGAGCCAAAACATTATAACCACCTACTCAGTAACGCGTTGCAGGAACTTTAGCCTACGAAACACCTGCAATTCGCCTTGGAGTGGATGCCACAAGTTCTTGATAGATGACTGGAGACAGGTTGTGCCAAATATCTAAGCAGCAATCACGCGAAGTCGAGGCATTCCGACATGGTGGTTTTTGTGTTGTGAGCTGCCACTCCATGACATCCCAAATGTTTCTATCGGGTTAAGATCTGGCTAGTTAGGTGACCAGGACATTAACTGGAATTCATCCTTATGCTCTTCGAACCCCTCGAAATACAATTCGAGCCTTGTGAGATAGGACGTTATCCTGCTGGAAGATTCCATTTCCAGTTGGGAAGATAGACGTCATGTACGGGTGCAATGATTTGCAGGTTATGTTCAGATAGTCCGCAATTTTCATGGTCTGTACTGCCACAGCTAAGGGTCCAAGAGCCGCCCATGAAAACGTCACTCAGAGTGTAACACCGCCATCATCAACCTATGTTTGATCTGCTGTACGGGGGGAGCGACTGTTCGCCAGCAAGACGGCGTACCCAACACGGTCATCGACGTGTTGAATGAGAAATCGTGATTCATCCGACCAGCCAAGTAGTGTCTTCCACTTGTCTATGGTCCAGTCTCGATGTTCCCGGCCTTGCGGTAGGCGTAGTTGACAATGACGCTTGATCAACAGAGGCACATGAGTGCGACGTCTGCTGCGCAGTTGCATATCCAATAGTGTCCGCTGAACTGTGTGTTCCGAAACACTAGCATTTGGACCTGCACTGTGTTGGATCGTGAGCTGAGTTACTGCTTGCTATAGCAAGCGGGACAGTCTCCAACGTCCTTTTCCTTTGAAGAGGTGTGGACCACCTTGGCGTCTATTGCTGGTGTCACCGTCATTTATATACTTTGCATAAATGCTAACAACCGTACATCGTGAACAATCTACCTGTTTTGCAATTTCGGAGATACACGTTCCGAGTCTTCGAGCAATTACAATCTGACCTCCATACAATTCGCTTACATCAGCAATCTTTCCCATCGCTCGCAAATGTTAATTGCAAGAATGATTCCTTACCTTCTCCAGCAGCAATTAAATACCATTCCCATTAATCACTTGCCCTCCACGTAATCCAGACGAGTGTATATTGAAAAATGCAGACATAGTCATAATTTTTTTATTTATTTATTAATTTTAATACTCAATTTTATTTATTTCTTGAATTTTTGTCAATAATCATCCAGATATAATTCAGAAACGCAACTGTGTTGAAACATTTTTAGCTGCTTTTTGAAAAACACAAAAGCATTTCTAACTACTTCATTTTTTTGTTTTCAGTTTAGTATATTGTTTGTTTCAATTTTGATTTATATTTTTCCTGTTGGTCAGTTTGCCACCATTATTGATTCAATCATTATCTCTAAAATATGTAATTAATTTCGCAGCATACTCTGCGACTTAAAAAATCGTAATTTTGAAATTTATAAACCCTTATATATATATATATAATATAATATATAAAAATATTCATCATTATATATGTATAATGATGAATATTTTTAATATTTGGTATCAAAAACTGTTTCCTTCATTTCTAAACAATGAATTCAGAGATATTATTAAAATATAGAAAGAAGGCTAAAGATGGCTTAGAATAGGAAAAAAAAAAAAGCTTGTATTAGTAAAGCAAAAAAGCGCAGTTATGACTGTTAGAAAAGCAATAGTAATGATTACAAACTAAAATCTGAATAAATTCCTTTTAAACAGGAAAGTATGTTCACTGGTCATCAAAATTAAAAAATAATGATATAAATAAAACGTAACTGATAGTTAATGAAAAATTATTTACAGAAATTTGTACAAAAGCTTTACGTAACATAAATTACAATGTTTTTCAATTTACTATTCGCAAAATATTGAAATTAAAACCAAATTAATGAAAATTGGAAAGTGATAGAAAAATTAAGTGACCTCTCGTAGGAAAAATATTTCTTTAATATGGTATATAGTCACCTCGGATAGATATGCATACCTCACATTTCGATTTCATAGACTTTGCCAAAGTGTTGATCAACTCTTGTGGAATCGCTGGCCACTCTTATAAAGTGCACTTTTCAACTCGTGGAGGGTTCGGGGAGGAATTTTATGAGCCCACGCATGCTGAATCGGGCTGAAGTCGCGTGAGTAAGATGGCCAATTTATTCGAGTGCTGTGTTTGCAAGTATTCTGACACCATATATGCTAGATGAGTCCGAGTATTGTCATCCATTAGCAAAACGTCTTGTCCAACAGCATCCCTAAACAGTCTAACTTGGAGTTCCATTACCTGATCCACACATCTCCGAGCATTTACAGAACCTCTATGAAACATATGCAGCTCGGTGCGGTTATTTATCATGATTCCTCTCCAAACCATTAAACCGCGTTCGCGGCAAGTTGCGTATTCCATCCTCTCTCCAGATCAAAACACTAGAATCCCCTGTTCAGACTATATCTGGACTCGTCAGTAAACAATACTCGGATTCAGTTGGCTTGGCTCTACTGAACCTGACGACGCCACCATTTTAAACGGGACCCTCTGGAAGCTGGAATGAGTAGGACACAAACCATTGTTTCTTGCATACAGTCCGACCTCATTAAGCCTTCCTGCAGCATTAGAACGGCTAAATCAAGTTCCTGTGGTAGCCGAGGGTCTAAAACGAAATCTCTTGCCGTCGCTTCTCGGTTTCTTCGAGCCGACGACGACAGAAAACGGTCTTCTGATGTGGTTGTTGCTCTTGGTCGCTTTTGACCAGACTGTCTATCAACTGATCCATTGCTTAAAAAAAGTGTCTACAAATTCTTGATATGACACTTATTATAGATATTAGAATATATAGAGGAATATTCAAATCTTGGGCGACCCCCTTTTGCGTTTGACCTTCCTCGATTCTACCAATCATTCGCCACTTTTGACCTGCCTTTGAGCCATAACTGCTGAATATTTGATTACTCTCAGAAACCACATTCACTTTAAATAGCACTACAGAGCGGAATTCCAACATGCGTCCATTGCGCACTACATTGGCAGTCACCGAATTTGCATATTTCCGGCGCTAACGTAAGCATAAAAGTGCAGTTTTGTGTTCATTTATATCTAACTAACATAAATAGTTACAGCATTGGGCATTGGTTGCAACATTACCTTAGTAAGATTATTTTCTCATTATCCTTGACTTTAGATGACCAGTATATGTTAAAAAACTACCCCGAAGTCTTTTACCCCGAAGAAGGGCCCCTAAAATGCAGTCAAGACACTTTCTCTTAGGTTATCACTTTTCATAGATGAAATAGCGCCAAATGGTCATGCTTGTGTCTCGCATACTTGTAAGCGTTCTAATATAACTCTGTTCTTCGATCGTAAATCTCTCCAAATTCGAAAGCATTGTACTTTCCTTTCAAGAAAGATCACTTTTGTATTTCTTCTTAATTATCAATGCTGTTGGAGACGAAATGTAGTATGCACGTTTGTTAAATAGCAGCGATCCGAACTTCAGAATCAGTTTCTCTCTCATTGCTTGTGTTGTGTCATAACTATGTGTAACCAAAAGAGCGCTCAAATTCTGTACTACTTTATTGGGCGCAGGTATAAAATGGGACAAATGTATCTCTTCAGAAATCAGTCCCTCGACGTTTGGCTCCAGTCCGACGTTGGCCAGCGACCACACAGAGGTGACCCCTGCCCTCCATGAGCAGCATCTCCAGTTCCAGCACCAGTTACTGCAGTTGAAACAACAGCAACAAATCCAGCAGCAACTCTTGCTCCAGCACTTCCAGCAACAGCAACAACAGCTTGCGGAGCAGCATGAAAAGCAACTGCAAGAGAGAATAAAGGTAAGTTCCTTTTATTTCTTTTATTTATTATTATTATTTACTTTTCCTTTTTGCCGGCGCAAACGATAAAGTCGCCAGTAATGGTACAACTGATGCCAAACGGAGTATCTTCGCTGGTAACCTTTAACACCTCATTTTCAAAACAAGTCTCAGCCATTTCTTACCAGAATGATTGTTTCTTTCAATACTGGTATACAGTTACATAGAATATTTACAAAGATAATTAAATTTTATGCCCTAAGACCATTCGTGGTAATTAAGTCAATTAGGATACAATCTCACCGAAAGCGAAAATATAGAAAAGGCAAAATCAAGGGTTAAATTCATCAATTATAATGAGAATGGACTAGCGAAGTAAAGCCCTGCGGTTTTACAGAATTTCTCAGTAAGCTATTTGTACGACTTGAAGTAATTATTGCATTTAAGCTTGTATTCCACATTAAGATTTAACTTGAAATTAATGTAGATAATTACTGAGAGAATTAGATTTTTGTAGCGTAGTTTGCGTGAGATGAGATCACTTGGGGCACGTGCTAAGAACCGGCGAATCAGAATGTTGAACCATGATAGCATAGTAAATTTTTAAATTAATGTCTTTTTACAAATTTATTCTTTTTATTTATTGGCTTTTAACAAAATTATAAACCATATTAAAATGTTAATGCCTTCAAAATAGAAAATTCTTAGAACTAACATTTGTTAACATTTTTTATGTGTATAATGTATGTTGTCGCCAACAAAGTCTGCTTGGCGAGATTTGCGCCGGCGAAACAGAAAAGTACCTTATTTTATTTTGAAAATAGTGTTGCAGAGTTGATATTTATGACTGGATTTATCCTCCTTTGAACACATTTCTTAATTTGTAAATGCTGGTTGGCTTGGGCAGTGCCCATCAGGTTTTAATGAATTTCGCGATGTAAATATAGTAGAACTTCAATTATCCGAATTAGTAGGGACCAGACTCCATTCGGATAATCGGATTTTTCCCGAAGAAAGTGTCTACGCACACTTTAATTAATTACTGTATGTACTGTGCGTTGAAAATGGGAGAAAAAACTATTTTTAAAGAAAAGGGAATTTTCCCCCCCCCCCCCCCCCCCCCCCCCCCCCCCCACCCCCCCCCCCCCCCCCCCCCCCCCCCCCCCCCCCCCCCCCCCCCCCCCACCCCCCCCCCCCCCCCCCCCCCCCACCCCCCCCCACCCCCCCCCCCCCCCCCCCCCCCCCCCCCCCCCCACCCCCCCCACCCCCCCCCCCCCCCCCCCACCCCCCCCCCCCCCCCCCCCCCACCCCCCCCCCCCCTCCCCCCGCCCCCCCCCTCCCCCCCCCCCCCCCCCCCCCCCCCCCCCCCCCCCACCCCCCCCCCCCCCCCCTCCCCCCCCCCCCCCCCCCCCCCCCCCCCCCCCCCCCCCCCCCCCCCCCCCCCCCCCCCCCCCTCCCCCCCCCCCCCCCCCCCCCCCCCCCCCCCCCCCCCCCCCCCCCCCCACTATTTTTTTTTGTTTTTTGTTTTTTTTTTTTTTTTTTTTTTTTTTTTTTTTTTTTTTTTTTTTTTTTTTTTTTTGTTTTTTTTTTTTTTTTTTTTTTTTTTTTTTTTTTTTTTTTTTTTTTGTTTTTTTTTTTTTTTTTTTTTGTTTTTTTTTTTTTTTTTTGGTTTTTTTTTTCTTTTTTTTTTTTTTTTTTTTTTTTTTATTTTTTTTGTTTTTTTGTTTTTTTTTTTTTTTTTTTTTTTGTTTTTTTTTTTTTTTTTTGTTTTTTCAAAATTAAAAAAGTTCGGTTGTTAGATAGCGTACTATAGAGTACTTACAAGTGCCGATAGTCATTGTTTGCTGAACATCTCGGTCAAAGCAAGATGTTTGACGGACACCGTGCCTGCGCTTAAAATTTCTTAGCCGCCGTTACTTGCTTTAAAAGAATGAACAACCGAGCTTCTGAGCTAAGATCTTAGCTTTTTCACGAAAAATCGGACCCGAGATTGGGTTTGCTATAGCACGTTGCTGGAAAAAAAACCACTACTTCTGAATTTTCTTGTTTCTTATTGAGAGGATCGAGTTTGCTCCTTCTTGAGTGTGAAAATGATGTCCAATACTACGTTTCCGTCTTAAATTCTTAATTCTGAAATTTTTTTCTTAACTTCTGAAAGCGATTTGGATAATCAGCAATTCGGATAGTCGGAGTTCGGGTAATTGGAGTTGTACTGTATAAATCTGTTTACGATTATTCTGTAATTAATTTTGTGTGTGGTAAAAAAAAATAAATTTTAGAGAGGATAGATTAGATGTTATAGTGAAAATAAAACAACAGGGAAATAGATCACTTCATGAAAGTTACACATGGCATACCATCTTTAGTCGTGCTCTGAAAATGATTGCTATTTGCTATTAACTTCTTGAAATGCTTGTTCAGCATCAGTGTTTATCTAGAAGCACACAAAACAGTGATAGATATATTTGACTGTAATAATAACAAATACTTTTTTGATATTGAGCTTCAAATTTTCTCGTTGGAGTATATTGAAAATTAAATTGTTGAAAAGGTTTTAAAGTTAAAATTTCGAGCGAAAATGTTTGTTTAGAACCGATGAATTTTAAGGGCTAAACGATATTTGTATACTTTAAATTTTGAATAATGCTTCTTTTACATATATACATGTCGAAAACTTGTATAATATTTCTCATGCCTAAATAATGCTGTATTGTGTCTTGCATAGTTTATGAGTTAAAATTAATTTTCAAATGATAATTCTCAGAAATATTTTATTTTCAATGGCATGCCAAAAAGTTACAAAAAACTAAATTCTTATAAATAGCGGTTACAAACAATAGAATTAAGAATAAAAAGATCGAAGTCATTGCCTAAAGAGCGTTCTCGCCAGTATCTCGACTCTTCTGTAAGACCACGAAAAGCCCCACATCGGAGCAGGTGGTCCCTTCCCATTTCTTCTCCATAATTATGAAGTGGGCAAATAGAATCTTTGAAATGCCTATGCTGTGCAGGTGGACGGCAAGGCAATTATGTCCTGTAGACAAACAGAAAGCCGCAACTCCATTGCGTGTTAAACCATCGGGAATAGAAGGACTTTCTCCAACTTTTTAGGACTGTACGAGTCTGAAGATCTCTTACGATATTAGCATCTATCTATACACCTTGCAGAGCACGTTGGCTGCTGATGCGAGCAGTGTGCGATTGGGCGTTATCTTGCTGATAAAAGGTATTGAGCATTCCCCTGAAGTTTGGGTAATGTCACCGGTCGCAGCACATCATGCACGGATCATTGGGCCGTCATAGTGCCCTGAATGCGAACTAGAGGTGACCTGAATCGTACGCAATTATGCCCCAAACCATCATGCCACGTTGTCGCGCGGTGGGGGCGTTCCACACGGATTGGACCTGTTTCCACATCGACGTCACACTCGTACGAGGCGACTATCACTGGAGAAACAAAAGCGTGACTCATATGCGAACAGGACCGTGTGTCATTCTGTCGTCTACATCGTTCGAGCCCAGCACCATTGCAGACGTTGGCATCTATGATGTGAGGTCAGTGGCAGTCTTCTTAACGGACGCCACGAGTGTAGGACACTAGCCACCAATCAGTGGAAACATCCAGGGTGTCTTGAACATGCTGCAGAATGGAGGAAGAAGGAGCTTGTGGATGCGTCACCGCATGTCGGTGGATGCGTCGATCCACGCGTGCTGACGTGCACTCGCATCCCTCGAATTTGCCACATTTCCTTTTTCCAACCACCGTCGCCACAGCCCGTGCACTGTAGACATGTCCAGGTGTGTGTCAACTGAGATTTGCCGTATGGACCAACTTTTCCTTCTCAGTTCGATCACCATACCCCTCGTAAAATCGTCTGTCTGCTGGAACTGCCTCTGTTGACGACGGCCTGGCATTTTCTGCTATATCACGCGTCCTCTGAGACAAGAACAAATTTTCTACGATGATTTCCTTAGTAGAAATAACCTAACGAAAATTTAACATTCTGCAGGTTCCTTCCCTTATATCTTCTTCAACGTGGGCTAGAGAGCTGCGCATTTCAGTTCATTCGCGTAACTCGGTGACGTGCGTCTACCCTGAAATTTGCATAATTTTCGGGCCACTCCTTGGTGTTGCATTTTCAGTGTCGGGTAGTATATAACTAACTATCCAAGCAAGTTTCAATTTAAATTTCAAATTTTGAATTCAAACTTGCTTAGATAATTGTAATTTATTTTGATTGTATATATACATGCATAATATGTCTTTATTGGATTTTTTACGCTTTTTGTGAAAAAAGACCAAGATATTCATGAAATTTCCATGTCGACCTTAACTTTGTTCACTAGAAGAAGTTAATTAAAATTAATAAAGTTTGGTTATTTTTCATTAATGTTTACGCGCAAAGGCAATAAATAAGACTTGCAAATTGTAAACATATTTACTCTTGAAATGTTTTCTCCAATTAACCTCCCGCTGGCCGTCTTTAATGCTGTGAGAACGTGTTGCACTGTAGAAAGGATGCTTTTCTGGGTTACTTCGAAAGAGCATTTTGCTTTAAAATTGGCTTTGAAATACATATGCCATTACTTTGGCGGATTATTTTACATAATAAATTTACGTTTCCAAAATTTCATGACGCAAATTTTTCATTTTCCTCACTGATAAAGAATGAAAAATTAGTATGAAATTTAATCTAGCAGTTATCTTAAGCATAGATATGTTCGAAATATGAAACCCGAAATGAATATGATACCCGTTTTAGTTGAAATATGATACCTGAAATTTTTCGCGATTACACTACTTCCTTTACTTCGTACAAGGATATAAAAATGGTTGAAAAAAAAAAAAAAAAAAAAAAAAAAAGCAATACATTGTAAAATAATTTTTGTGTAGGATTGTAACCAAAAAGCGCAAATGACTGTTAAACGTTTTAGTTTTATATGCGATATCGGAAACTTAATGCCCGCTTAACTGCTATGTGCGAATTAAATGCATACAGTATCGATGATACCTTGATGAC